ATTTATCAATTTTAAATAAACATTTCCCCCTTTCTCTTTTTTCATTCCCATATTTTACTCTTGCCTTGTCTTGTCTTGCCTCTAATTTCTTGGCTTTGAGTTGTTCAATTTAAATTCTCTCTATATCAATCGATAGAGAAAGACTTGGAGAATCGAATGAGCCCAAAAAACATCTCAATTGAATAACTCGACATCAAGATAATTGAGTCTAGAGTCAATCCCTTTTCTCAATCTAAATCAATCAATCTTGTCAATCTTTAAACTCAAATATCTTCGTGTCGAGTTGTTCAATTGAGATGTTTTTTGGGCTCATTCGATTCTCCAAGTCTTTCTCTATCGATTGGTAGAAAAAGTATTAAGATTGGATAACTCAAAGCCAAGAAATTTGAGTTTAAAGTTGGGTAGGGTTTGGTGCTTCAAAGTTTGAGGTTTAGCGTCTCAAATGTTTGATAAATTGGCTGAATCTAAAGCCTGATTCTTGATTTCTAGTGGTTTATCTAAAAATCGATTCAGGGATGATGGGAGATTCGAAAAAAAAAAACCCTAAAGAACTCTAAAAAGATCCAGGGAGCGATGCATGAAGGAACCCAAGAAGAGGGCGAAATTTTTGAGTGGGCTACGGTCTTGAGTGGATCCATCTGCAAACTCCTCATCCCAGCCTCATCCAACCCTTTTCCCCTAATATTTGTCAGTGAATATCTGTGTGGGGGCATTGGCTAGGCTGGCCAGGCTGCGGGGGGGATTTTGTAAATAGAGAATCTCAGCTTTTCCTCGATTTTCTCCGATTTTTCCCCCATTTTCCGCCCACAATTTCCCCTCACTCAGCTCTCGGCTTTTCAGAGTAAAACCCTTCATTTTATTTCTGTTTTTAAATCTAATCTTTTTGAAATTTACTTCTATTCAATCTTTTAAGCTTTCTGGAGGCTTCTATTCAGTCTTTTAAGCTGTTGGTTAACTTCTAAAGCTGCTAGCTAACTTCTAAAGCTGTTAGTTAACTTCTGAAGGTCTTAGCTAACTTCTAAAGCTACTAGTTAACCTCCAAAGCTGTTAGCTAACTTCTAAAGCTACTAGTTAACTTCCAAAGCTGTTAGTTAACTTCTAAAGCTATTAGCTAACTTCTAAAGCTATTAGTTAACTTCTAAAGCTACTAGCTAACTTCTAAAGCTGTTAGCTAACTTCTAAAGCTACTTAGCTAACTTCCAAAGCTGTTAGCTAACTTCTAAAGCTATTAGCTAACTTCTAAAGCTATTAGCTAACTTCTAAAGCTGTTAGTTAACTATAATTCTTGACGTTAACTATAATTCTTAACTGTTAGCTCCTAAAAAAGGCAACCAGCTGGCTAAAAAAGAAACTAAAAAAAGGCTTTGACCAGCTGTTGTCTTCAAAAAATCTATTGAAAAGGGGAAAAATGAGGAAAAGAGGCTTGGAAATTGGGGGAAAAAGACTCAGAGAATTTAAAAAAGGAATTAGAAAAAGGAATTGGAAAAGGAATTGGAAAAGGAATTAGAAAAAGGAGGACTGAAAAAGGGAAATCCAAGGCAAACCAAGGCCATCCTTATTCTAAAAATCTCTAAATCGACTCAAGTCTCTTTATTCGAAAATCTTCTTGTAATCTTCTTGTAATCCTTCAGATTTCCCCTTATGAATAACGATTAGAAATTAAATGGCTGTGTTCAATTTTGGTTTGGTTGGTTTGGTTCAATTTTTCAATATTATATTAATGTTTCTCTAGAGCTTTAAAGCTTTAGCTCAGATCTTTAGCTAAAAAATACTCAAAAAAAATCATCCACTAATTCTAAAATTGAATTGGATTCGCATTTTCTTGTAATTAATTGTTCTCTGTTTAACAATAATGATTATATATTTAATTTTGAATGGTATAGTTGATTAGTTGATTAGTTAAATTGTTGATTAGTTAAATTGTTGACTAGTTAAATAGCTGATTAGTTAAATAGCTGATTAGTTATATAGTTGATTTTAATTCTTAGAATTACAGTCATGGACAAAAGCCTTGGTGGCAGTCTTGGTGGCAGTCTTGGCGGCTCCTGGGTGGCAACTTTCAAACGCAAATTTAGGAACCTTCCCGAGAGGCTATAAAAAAAGTTGTCACAAGTATTTTTGAGCATTTTTACTCTACTTTTAGCTATGACCAAGCATTGAACTCGAAAGTTTATTTCAAATAACAAAAATAAGCGTAAACGACAAAAAGGTCACAAAAACAATGGACAAAAAAAATACGGTTCCAATATGGTTCTTTTTTTGATCTAATACGGTTCCGGTTCCAATACGGTTCCAATATGGTTCCAATATGGTTCTTTTTTCGATCTAATACGGTTCCAATACGGTTCTTTTTTTTCGATCTAATACGGTTCCAATACGGTTCCATTACGGTTCCTATTTTGATCTAATACGGTTCCAATACGGTTCACGGTTCCAATACGGCTCCTTTTAAGGTTCCAATACGGTTCCTATTTTGATCTAATACGGTTCCAATACGGTTCACGATTCCAATACGGCTCCTTTTAAGGTTCCAATACGGTTCACGGTTCCAATAAGGCTCCTTTTGAGGTTCCAATACGGTTCACGATTCCAATAAGGCTCCTTTTGAGGTTCCAATACGGTTCACGGTTCCAATACGGCTCCTTTTAAGGTTCCAATACGGTTCACGGTTCCAATAAGGCTCCTTTTGAGGTTCCAATACGGTTCACGGTTCCAATACGGCTCCTTTTAAGGTTCCAATACGGTTCACGGTTCCAATACGGCTTCTTTTAAGGTTCCAATACGGTTCTTTTTTTTGATCTAATACCGTTCCGGTTCCAATACGGTTCCAATATGGTTCTTTTTTTGATCTAATACGGTTCCAATACGATTCCAATACCAAAAAAAGTCTTGGCGGCACAGACATAGAGGCGAAAAATTCAATATTTTGTATTAATTGAACAATTGTTGAAAAACTGAATATTGGGGTTGAATTGAAGGGATTTAAAAGCTCAACTCATTCTTTAAACTTGTCTTTTCTTTTATTCATTTCTTTTATTTATACTTTTCTTTTGTTTATTTCATTTCTTTTATTTATTTATTTCTTTTCTTTTCTATTCTCTGACTTATTTCAATTTAATCAATAATTTTGTCTTTTTGTTGTTTTCTCACTTGCGATCTTTTTCCGAGAAAATCCTGGGTGGTACTTCTTTTGTTTAGACCCCCCTCAATCATCAGCTTCTTTTAGAAAATTACCGGAATACGGCTTTCTTTCAAAAACCACTTTATTCATCTTCCTTCAAGATCTCAGGAGCAATAGACTAGCCAATTCTAGCCTAGACTAGCCAATTCTAGCCTAGACTAGCCAATTCTAGCCTAGACTAGCCAATTCTAGCCTAGACTAGCCAAAGACTTGACTAGTTAGATAGATCAACTTCAAGATAGGCTACTAATCTAGATGATAATCAAGTTAGACTACTAGCTCAGTTTCTTAATATCTAGATTATCTAGATATCTAGATTATCTAGATATCTAGATTAGTCTAATAGTCTGCTAGGCAAAGTCTAATAGCCCTTAACTCTTGATAAGCCTTAAACAATGGTCTTATCACCCCTCCAGAAGTAGAAGAGATCTCTGCGTGTCTTGCCTTTCCTTTCTCGAATCTCTCCTCCATTCTCTATCTCTTCCTATTGGACCCCGTCCTTTTCTCCTCCATTTTCTCCTCCTTTCCCCCTTCCTTTTCCCCTCCTTTTCCCCATCCACCTTTTCTAAAGTATTGAATCGACCCACCCTTTTCGCCCAAAAATTTCCTTTTTCTTCGTTTGATATCATTCTCTTTATCAAGTGCCAAATTCATCTTTTGTGCTTTTTTTTTAAAGAAATTCTTTCTAAAGCTTTGGACTATTTTGAAGATAATTCATGAGAATTGAAAGATCTATCTTTCTTAGATCTTTCAATTCTCTTTCTTCTTTCTCTTTCTCTTTCTTATTCTCTAAAGGTTAGCTAATAAATTAGTCCAAATTTTATAGAAATCAATCTAAATCTTCTGAAACCCAGCCCAAGACAAATCAGTCCAAATCAGTCCAAATTCTAGACAAATCAGTCCTCTAGACAGACAAATCAGTCCTCTAGACAGACAAATCAGTCCTCTAGACAAATCAGTCCAAATTTTAAACCCTAACCTTCTTGTATTCATGCCTTAGCTTTAAGAATTTAAAACTTTAAGCTTTAAAGCTTTAAGAATTAACTAACTTCTAGTCTCAAGCAAACTCGTTAGCTTTTTTTGGCTTTTTTTTTTGGCTGTAAACTCTCTTAAACTAACTTCAATGTATCCAATTGAATAATTTTATATCTAGAAATTGTTATGCTTTCTTTTTTTGGCCATCTGGATCAGATGGGATTATAGAAAAGTGAATGCTTTCTGAAAATTGTAAATATAGCCATCTTTAATAGCCAAAATAGCCATCTTTATCCGAATTTGTTATCCAAATCTGTTATCCAATGTGTTTCTAAATTTATCGAACAGTTTAGCTCATAGTTTAGTTCATTTTTCTTCAATCTGGAACGCACATGACAAGCTACAGTAGTCAGACTTGGCAAATCTAAAGAAAATTCTCCAAGGATTACGGTAGCTTTTTTTAGGAGAGCGTTTTTTAGAAAACGGTTAAGGAAACTAGAGCTGATATTTTATTTTTCTTCAATCTGGAACGCACATAACAAGTTACAGTAGTCAGCTTTGGCAAATCTAAAGAAAATCCTCCAAGGGTTACGGTAGCTTTTTTAACAGGGTGTTTTTTAGAAAACGGTTAAGGAAAGTGGGCCTGATATTTTATTTTTCTTCAATCTGGAACGCACATAACAAGTTACAGTAGTCAGCTTTGTAACAATTCGACTTTGTAACAATCGTACCTAAGCCTCTCTGCCATTTTTCAATTCGTTCTCAAATTCTGTTCTCTAAATAATTCCTTTTTTTCTCATTTGTAGGTTTGCTTATTCCGATCCTCATAAACTCCTCGTAAACAATGTCGAAAGCCGGCAAAGATGCTCAACAAACATCACTTCTTGATGTGCTCAAGAAGAAAATGAGACAAGCACGTGAAGAGGCTGAGGCGGCCAAGGATGAGGCTGATGAAGTCAAGAGACAATTGGAGGAAGAGAGGAAAAAGAGGGAAGATGTGGGTTCTATATCAACACTTGTCACCAATTTGCTTATTGTAATCATTACTGGTAGTAAAGGCTTAGCTAGAGTTGTTTCAAAAGTATTCTTCAAGGATCAAGCAGGGAAGGGAAGGCCAGGGTCAAGCCAGAAGCTAGGCTGGCCTGTTTTAGCTTATCTGGAACGCACATAACAAGTTACAGTAGTCAGCTTTGGCAAATCTAAAGAAAATTCTCCAAGGATTACGGTAGCTTTTTTTAGGAGAGCGTTTTTTAGAAAACGGTTAAGGAAACTAGAGCTGATATTTTATTTTTCTTCAATCTGGAATGCACATAGCAAGTTACAGTAGTCAGATTTGGCTAGTCTAAAGAAAATCCTCCAAGGGTTACGGTAGCTTTTTTAACAGGGCGTCTTTTAGAAAACGGTTAAGGAAAGTGATCCTGATATTTTATTTTTCTTCAATCTGGGACGCACATGACAAGTTGCAGTAGTCAGCTTTGGCAAATCTAAAGAAAATTCTCCGGGGGGTTACGGTAGCTTTTTTAACAGGGCATTTTTTAGAAAACGATTACGGAAATTAGAGCTGATATTTTATGTTTCTTCAATCTGGAACGCACATAACAAGTTACAGTAGTCAGCTTTGGCTAATCTAAAGAAAATACTCAATAGCCATTTTAGCCAATCCAAGAAATCATTTCACAACAATGGGCGAATCGATTCCTTTTTCCATACAAATATAGTCGTTTACCCCGCAATTCTTTCCATTCTTTCCATTCTTTTTCGATTCTAAACGGGATCGGCTCGTAAGCACACAAACACGCATTGCACACATACAGAAAAGGGAAAAGAGAAAGAAAATGCGACTCAAAGGGGGGTGGCCTTTTTGTCCCGGCCGATTTCGAGCCGTTTCTAGTGGTGTTTCGGGGTGAAAATGATAGGGAAATGCATTAAATTAGTCAAATTATTTAGCTAAAAGCCATTAGAACAGTAGAAAAGGGATTTAAACTGATTTTCTAATCTAGAACAGAGTTTCTAAGGGTTCTACAGAGTTTCTACTCTACTTTTCGACAATCATTTACAAATTTTAATCATTTAATCTTGTTATCTGGGACCTACGACGAGGTCCCAGATTAGCTTAGATCAATGAAAGTGTTTAATCAATTAAAGTCGTTAAAGTGATATCCAGATTGAAGATTTTGATGGTAATTGAGGAATTCTGATTGATTAGAAGGCTTGAATTGCCTCAGTCTTGTCGCAGCTAGTTTGAGTGTCTCTAACTTGTGAGGAATTGGGTTTTTGATGTTACGATTAACTAAAGTGATATCCAGATTAGACATTTTGATGGTAATTGAGGAATTCTGATTGATTAGAAGGCTTAGATTCCGCCAATCTTGTCGCAGCTATTTTGAGTTCTCTCGCTTGAAAGGAATTTGGTTATTTGATGTTACGATTAACTAAAGTGATATCCAGATCAGGCATTTTAATAGTAATTGAGGAATTCTGATGGATTAAAAGGCTTGAGTTGCCTCAATCTCGTAGCTAGTTTGAGTGTCTCTAACTTGAAAGGAATTGGGTTATTTGACGTTCAGATTAACTAAAGTGATATCCAGATTAGAGATTTTAATGGTAATTGAGGAATTCTGATTCATTAGAAGGCTTAGATACTCCCAATCTTGTCGCAGCTATTTTGATTTCTCTAACTTGTAAGGAATTGGGTTATTTGATGTTACGATTAACTAAAGTGATATCCAGATCAGGCATTTTAATGGTAATTGAGCAATTCTGATGTATTAAAAGGCTTAGATTCCCCCAATCTTGTCGTCGGGCCTAATATGATGGCCTAGTATGATGATTTTACTTTAAATAGATCCTTTAAAACCCTAAACTTTTATCGTAAGTCTTACGGATCGTAACAGTATCTTCGAATCCGTTAAAACATCCATTACTTATCTTTATTTTCTCATTCTGCAGGCGGAAGCCGAAGTTGCGGCTTTGAATCGTCGTATAGTGCTTGTGGAGGAGGATTTGGAAAGAACAGAGGATCGTTTGAAGACAGCGACAACAAAATTGGAAGAAGCATCAAAAGCAGCGGATGAAGCTGAGAGGTAATAAGAATTTTTTTTGATTTAGTCGGAGGGTGAAGTTGCTGGTTTGAATCGACGAATGATCACGATTGAGGAAGATCTGGAAAGAGCTGAGGAGAAGCTGAAGATCGCTACGGAGAAACTCGAGGAAACCACGCACTCTGTTGATGAAAGCGAGCGGTTGGCAAAGAGAAAAGAAAAGAAGAGACAACCGAACGCTTTTTGATCCAAAACACACTTGTACTTTGAGCTCTAAACGGAGAGCTTTTAGTGCACTGGGTTCTCGCTAAAGATTCCTGAGAAAAATCACGATTTCAGTGCGCTAGAAAGGATGCGTTTAGAGCTCAAAGTACAGCTTTCACCCTGGGGGCTTTGGTCACTTGGAAAGGATTTCGTTGGATTTGAGCTGGTTGAAGGTAGGCTAGACTGGCTTTGGCTCAGTTTAGAGTAGGCTACGGTGGACTAGGCTGGCCTTGGCTCAGTTTAGAGTAGACTACGGTAGACTAGGCTGGCCTTGGCTCAGTTTAGAGTAGGCTACGGTGGACTAGGCTGGCCTTGGCTCAGTTTAGAGTAGGCTACGGTAGACTAGGCTGGCCTTGGCTCAGTTTAGAGTAGGCTACGGTAGACTAGGCTGGCCTTGGCTCAGTTTAGAGTAGACTACGGTAGACTAGGCTGGCCTTGGCTCAGTTTAGAGTAGACTACGGTAGACTAGGCTGGCCTTGGCTCGGTTTAGAGTAGGCTACGGTGGACTAGGCTGGCCTTGGCTCAGTTTAGAGTAGGCTATGGTAGTCTAGGCTGGCTTTGGGTCAGCTTAGAGTAGACTACGGTAGTCTAGGCTGGCTCTAAGTCCGCTTAGAGTAGACTACGGTAGACTAGGCTGGCCCTGGGTCAGCCTAGGGTAGGCTAGCCTAGCCCTGGCATAGATATTTCTAATAATAAGCTATTTAAGCTACAGTCTATCAGCTCAAATTCAGCTAAAATCCAGAAAAAGGAATATAAAGCGAGTATTGTCTCGTGTTTTGTGAAGTGAAAAATTGCTGGAGTTGGGATGCTTGGATGTCTTTGTTAGGCCGTACTTTGTGCTCATGTAAACGCCGTCTTCAGAATACAGTACTGTAGCTGGTACAGTACTGTACTGTACTAGCTTCTGTACTGTACCAGCTACAGTACTGTACTCTGTGCTGTACTATAGCTACTGTACAAAGCGTATTGTAGTGTACTGTACGGTACAGTACTATAGACAGTACCAATGAGCTATCAATACTGTTTAGAATAAGCCAAAAGATCAAAGCATCTCAGCTCTCAGTGAGTGTCTAGTGGATCGGATCGTACTGTGCATCGTACTGTACTGTCTCGTACTGTACTGTCTCGTACTGTACTGTGTCCTGTAGCGTACTGTAGCTTGTTTACTATATGTTTCTCTGTGCAGAGCTCGAAAATCGATGGAAACCCGCTCGCAGCAAGACGAGGAAAGAGCCAATGTTTTGGAGGTGCAAGTCGAGGAAGCGAAAGTGATCGCCGAGGAAGCTGACAGAAAATACGAAGAGGTTACTGTAGTTTTGTGGCTACTGTAGGTTACTGTAGTGCTCAAAAAACGTCGCTCTTTCGTGTCCATTTCCACCGTAAACTTGTCGATTTTGTCGAGAGAGATTACGGTAGAAATGGACACGATTTATGGCTGTTAAATGGTGAAATCTTTGTCTTTGTTTTGTCTTTTTTGTCTTTTTTGTCTCTTTTCTTTTGTTTTGCACGTTTAACGCTTTGTTTTAAAGAAAAAAAACGACTCTGCACGCCTATTAACATGTGAAAATTGAAAGAAAAAGAAGAAATGAAGAAATAAAGGAATGAAGAAGAAGAAAGAAGAATTGAAGGCCTTCTAGGCTTAAATGAAAGCCTTCTCAGCCTAAATGAAGGCCTTCTCTAGCTTCTCTAGCTGGCTAGCTAGCTTCTCTAGCTGGCTAGCTAGCTTCTCTAGCTGGCTAGCTAGCTTCTCTAGCTGGCTAGCTAGCTTCTCTAGCTGGCTAGCTAGCTTCTCTAGCTGGCTAGCTAGCTTCTCTAGCTTCTCTAGCTTCTCTAGCTTCTCTAGCTTACTCTGCTCAATGGTTGAGCTGATATTGAGCTAGTCAGAGAGCTAGCTAGTCAGAGAACTAGTGAGAGAGCTAGCTAGAGAACTATTTAGAGAACTAGCTAGATAACTAGCCAGAGAGCCAGCTAGAGAGCCAGCTAGAGAACTAGCTAGAGAACTAGCTAGAGAGCTAGCTACCTAGAGAGCTAGCTACCTAGAGAACTAGCTAGAGAGCTAACTAGCTAGAGAACTAACTAGAGAACTAGCTACCTAGAGAGCTAACTAACTAGAGAACTAGCTAGCTAGCCTCTCTAGTTTTGCTGCATGTTGTTTTCTCAATGTAATCTGTTCAATATAGAGCTCGAAAAGTGTTGGAAAGCCGGGTGGACGTCGACTCGGATCGAGTCACTTTTTTGGAGGGAAAACTCAAGGAAAATCTCTCACATTTGAGCGAAACCGAGCAACGGCATGATGAGGTTGATTAACACTAACAATTCGTTTCGAAAACGCATTCAAAAACCACCGTCATCCATCCATTTTCTAGCATTGGTTTTGCCTTTTTTAGCCTCAAGTTTAGCCTCAAGCAATTATGAGTTTAAAGAAAAAGAAGAAAAAGAGCTTTGGGTTGAATCCGGGATTGAACCCTCGAGCTCGAGCTTGATTGATGAGCTAGATGCAAGACTCTTAGCCACTAGGCCATGATGGCAGCTAGGCACGGAGGAATAGGAATAGGAATTTAAATAGGTAAGAAACTCGACAAAAAGCAAAAATCGGTTGAATCCGGGATCGAACCCTCGACCTCCAACTTGACCTCCAGCTTTAGAACCAAGACTCTTAGCCACTAGGCCACGATGACAGCGTGGCAGGGAGAGAAAAACTCGCCAAAAAGCAAAAATCGGTTGAATCCGGGATCGAACCCTCGAGCTCGACCCCGACCCCCGCTTTAGAACCAAGACTCTTAGCCACTAGGCCACGACGACAGTTTGGCAAGGAGAGAAAAACTCGGCTAAAATCAAGCTAATCTAGAAAATTGATGGTTGCGGTAGTTTTCTAGTGCTTTTTAGAAAACTTCTTTTAAACGGAATATCTTATTTCTTTGTTCTTTCTTGTCTGTCTTTTTTTTCGTCGTACTCGTGGTTACGGTAGTTCGTTCATTGGATCAAAGCGTTGTTGGTTATCATTTCTTGAAGATCAAGCAAAAAGCTAAGATAGAACTAGATCTATAAGGTAGAGTAGCTAAGGTTAAAGCTAGAGTAGCTAAGGTTAGAGCTGTAGCTATTTTCTAAGGATGTAAAGGCAGTTCTTTGTGGAAAGGGTACTATCAAACGACTGGCAGTAGGTCAGTGACTGGCTGACTGACTAACTGACTGACTAACTGACTGACTAGCTGACTAACTGACTCATTGACTGACTGTCTGCCTTTCTTCCATTCAATCTCTTCCCCAACCTCTTCCCGTTGACCGTTTCACTTTTGTTAGTGTTCGCAAAGTGATGGAGAATCGAGCCACTCAAGACGAGGAAAGAGCTGGATCAATTGAAAGCCAACTCAAAGACGCCCAATTGTTGGCTGAGGAGGCTGACAGAAAATACGATGAGGTTATAGGAATGAGAGGAAACTAGAATTGAATGCGATTGATGTGCAATCAAGCATGCATCTATTACTCATATTGGTTTAGGCTCAGGCTAAGAAGCCTAGGGCCCAGGATTCAGGGTACCCCAAGGTCCAGATACTCCAGGGTCTAGGGTACAATAAGGGCCTAGTAAAGTACTATAGTACCGTAGCTATGGATAAAGATCTGGGCTTATCAAGCCCAGGGTCCAGGGCAAGATCCAGGATCCGGGATCTCCAGGGTCCAGGGCAACCCCAGGGTCTAGGGTAGCCGAGGTTCCAGTGTACCTTAGGGTCTAAGGTACCCAAGGGTCCAGGGTAGTCCAAGGCCCAGGGTAGTCCAGGGTCTAGGGTACCCCTAGAGTCCAGGGTAGGATACCCCAGAGTCCAAAGTAGCTTGGGTAGCCCAGGGTAATCCCGGGGGCCAGGGTCCCCAGGGTCTAGGGTACCCCAGGGTCCAGGGTCCAGGATCCCCAGGGTCTAGGATACCTCAAGATCTATAGGGTACCCCAGGATCCAGAGTAGCCAGGGTATCCTGGTCCAGGGTACCCAAGGGTATTCCCGGGATCCAGGCATCCTAGAATCCCTCAAGGTCCAGGGTACCCCAGGGTCTAAGGTACCCCAGGGTCCCAAGGTAGGTTATCTCGTATCATAAACTTATCTAGGGCACCCCAGGGTCCCCAGAGTCCTAGAATACTTAGCCCTAGACTATTTATAGATACAATTCATCGATCTAAAACCTCATAGCATGTTTAGTTATTTTTACTTGTTATCATTTGCACGTTGTATCTGTTGTGTTCTCACTAACTATTCCTTCATCTTGCTCTTGATCTTTTCAAAGAAGATAATCTCGTCCGTCTATTGACGTGGATAACTAAGTGTTGTCTAGGATTAAAATTTCACAAATCAAGTTTCCAGGTTGCCCGCAAATTGGCGATGGTTGAGGCGGATCTGGAGAGAGCTGAGGAGCGTGCCGAAGCTGGAGAGAAGTAAGGGAATCGGGAGGGTACTGTAGGAAGATCAATGCTTCATTTTATTCACTAGATTTCGAGTTTGCTATGAAAGGGTAGTACCCTAGAGTCTGGTACAGTAGGTCGGTTATAGAAACCAGTACCTTAGGGACTAGAGACAGGGACTAGAGACAGCCTAGAGGCACTAGAGGCACTAGGGACAGCCTAGAGGCAATAGAGACAGCATAGAGGCACTAGAGACAGCCTAGAAGCACTAGAGACAGCCTAGAGACAGCCTAGAAGCACTAGAGACAGCCTAGAGACAGCCTAGAAGCACTAGAGACAGCCTAGAGACAGCCTAGAAGCACTAGAGACAGCCTAGAGACAGCCTAGAAGCACTAGAGACAGCCTAGAGGCAGCCTAGAGGCACTAGAGACAGCCTAGAGGCACTAGGGACAGCCTAGAGGCCCTAGGAGCACTAGAGGCACTAGGGGGACTAGAGACCATAGAGGGCCTAGGACCAGAAGCCCTAGAGGCCCTAGGAGCACTATATCAATAGATACAGACTTTCAAACTTATCTTCCAAATCTGTAGCAAGATCATCGAGTTGGAGGAGGAGTTGCGAGTGGTGGGCAACAATTTGAAATCCCTGGAGATGAACGAGGAAAGAGCTTTGGAGAAAGAGCAATTCTTCCAAGAGAATATCGTGCAAATCGAGGAGAAACTTAAAGAGGTTTTGGCTGAATGTGGATAGCTCTAAAATAGATCTATCTATCAACTAAAAAACTGTGGAATTTTGTCGACTCTCTGTGCAATCTTCTTGTCCACCTCGTCCACCTCGTCGATCTCGTTTTCTCAAACTCAACACTAACACATTTTTGTCGGTTTTGCGTTTATAACTATTTGTACACAGGCACCTAATGAATCTTTAGGCTTTAAAAGAAGAGAAAATGGGATTAGAAGGGATGAGAAGGGATTAGAAGGGATTAGAAGAAGAATTAGAAGAATTAGAAGAATTAGAAGAAATTAGAAGAAATAGAAGGAGAATTAGAAGAATTAGAAGAAATAGAAGAAATAGAAGAATTAGAAGAAGAATTAGAAGAAGAATTAGAAGGAATTAGAAGGAATTAGAAGAAGAATTAGAAGAAGAATTAGAAGAAATTAGAAGAAATAGAAGGAGAATTAGAAGAAATAGAAGAAATAGAAGAAGAAATAGAAGAAATAGAAGAATAAAAGGGGATCAAGAGCTCTCTTCCTTCTCTAATCCTTCTCTAATCCTTCTCTAAACAATCGACAATAGCAAAGAAGCCATAATTCTTGAGCTCTTCTATAAAACTTCTAGAATTTTATAAATAAACAATTCAATCACAGACGATCACAAGAGCTGGAAAAAGACATTCGAGCGCTGTGCACCACATTGAAAACCTGTGAAGGATACGAGGAAAGATCACAAGAAATTGAGGAAGCAATGAATCGACATTGTGATTTGATCTCGAAGAGATTGAAAGAGGTTAGAGATCGTTGCGAGTACAGTGGAGTACAGTGGAGTACAGTGGAGTACGCTGGAGTACAGTGGTGTACAGTGGAGTACAGTGGAGTACAGTGGAGTACAGTGGAGTACAGTGGAGTACAGTGAAGCTCTTGTGGTTGTGGTTGTGGTTTTGGTTTTGGCTTTGGCTTTGGTTGTACTGTTGTACGGAGAGACAGTGGTGGCTGTGCTTTAGGGAAAGTACTGCAGAATGTGCTAAAAAGGTTATCAATCGTGCTAGGGTAGTACAGTAATCCAATGGAAAGTCGTACTATCACTGGGTATCACTGCACGACCAGATTTGACCTAGAATCCTGGGCTTAGGCTTAGGCTTGGGCTTAGGCTTAGGCTTGGGCTTAGGCTTGGGCTTGGGCTTGGGCTTGGGCTTAGGCTTAGGCTTGGGCTTGGGCTTGGGCTTGGGCTTGGGCTTGGGCTTGGGCTTGGGCTTAGGCTTAGGCTTGGGATTGGGCTTAGGCTTAGGCTCTCCTGAACCTGATCCTGAGCCTAGTCCGGGTTCTGAACCTGATCCTGAGGCTAGTCTGGTCCTGAGTCAGATCCTGGTTCTGAACCTGTCCTGAGCCTGGCCCTGGTTCAGATCCAGAGCCTGATCCTGGTTCAGATCCAGAGCCTGATCCTGGTTCAGATCCAGAGCCTGATCCAGATCTTGATCCTGATTCTGAGCCTGCCCCTGAACCTCAGCTTAAGCCTAAATCAAGCCTAAGCTTAAGCCTAAACCCAGAAAACCTAGGTTTTAAGTTTTGCTTCAACCTTGGAAACCTGGATCTTGTTTTTGAGCAATCTCCGATTCATAGTCTCATTCATAGCCTAAATTCATAGTCTCCTTAAACTACAGTAATCCTACAAGTAGTTGGTTTGAAAGATTTGCTTTTAGAGCTTTTAGAGAGATAATTAGGTAAGAAGAGCGTTTTATTTCCAAATGAGCTAGCCTGAAAATGAGCATGAAACTGTTGAAATACTTGTTAAAGCATGACGTTCAATGTTGTCCATTTTAGCAAGATCGTTGAGTTGGAAGAGGAGTTGCGAGTGGTTGGAAACAATTTGAAATCCCTTGAAGTATCAGAGGAGAAAGCGCTGCAAAGAGAGGATTCCTACGAGGAGCAAATCCGCGCACTCAGCTCCCGTCTGAAGGAGGTTCACTAAAATTAAGAAAAGCCATTTGTCAATAGATATATGAAAGCTTCTTCCCTCTCTTTCTTCCTCTCTTCTTCCTTCTTCCTTTCGTCTTCCATCTTCCTTGGCTTCTTCCCTCTCTTCTTCCTCTCTTCTTGCTTTCTTCTTCCTTTCTTCTTAGACAAAGAAGCTGTTTTCTATCATATTTACATTGACAATTGGTTCTAACATCTGTTGAGTGATTTCCTGAATGAAATTTGTCTGTAAGTGTTGTTTTGAAGCTATGGATAAGCTAGATTACTCTATTATAGACTAGACGTAGACTATTGTAGCTATTGTAGCTATTTAGCTATTGCAGCTATTGCAGCTATTATAGCTATTTAGCTATTTAGCTATTGTACCTATTATACCTATTTATTACTATGCTATGAGATCTGACACAAGCTCTAGCACAAGCAGAGCTTGCCCACAAGCAGAGCTTGCCCTAGTTGCGTAGTTCATAGCTTGAACTCAATACTGGTTCAATCCGTAAAACTATCGTCATCACGTCGTGTCTCGTATTCTTTTCAAATAACTATTAAACAAAATCATATGAACAAGTATTTCAGGCTGAGTCTCGCGCTGAGTTCGCTGAGCGCTCTGTGCAGAAGCTCCAGAAGGAGGTTGACAGACTCGAGGGTATGTTTTGAAGATGAAAATATCATAATAATATTTAAATAATATTTAAATAATATTTAAATGATATTTAAATGATATTTAAATAATATTTTTTAAATCTCAGAATTAGCTTTGCTTATTTTCCATCGCTTTAAAGCTTACTTGAGCACACGTTTTGTTGTTGGTCTGTGTGGAAACAAAAGGGAAAGGCTACGGCTACGGTCGACTCTAGAATGAGTAGTACTGTAAAGGTGCTGTAGCTAGGCTTACTGTAGTGTAGCGTTATACTGTAGTGTTAGATCCACTGTAGGAGTACTGTAGGTTCATACTACTGTAGCTAGGCATGCCCTGTAGTACTGTAGGTACTGTAGGTTGTTTGCTGGAGTTGTAAAAGTACTGCAAAATATCTGACTAGTCTACGGTACTTCTCTTGTCTAAACTTAACTAAGTACTGTATCCAAGCCACTTCTTAGATCAGGGAAACTGTAGCTGAGCGTCCTGTACTTGAGCCTATTGTAGTCTACTGTACTACTGTACTATTGTACTATTGTGCTGTAGTACTATTGTACTTGAAGCCTGCTCTAGCCTACTGTATTATTGTAGGTACAGGCTCAAGCCTAGACTTGAGTTCAGGCTTAGGCTCAGGCTTAGGCTCAGGCTTAGGCTTAGGCTCAGGCTCAGGCTTAGGCTAAGTTCAGGCTTAGCCTCAGCCCCAGTCTTGGACTCAGGTTCAGGCTCAAGCTTAGGCTAGGCTCAGGCCTAGACTCAGCCCCAGGCTCAGAATACTGTATCTAAGCCTACTGTAGGATACAGGGTTACTGTAAAGCACTAATCTGATTCTAGTCGGTTTACTGTAGGGAAATCTGAAGTACTATAGGTCTAGTGCACTTTGTCGGCTAGCACAAGACCCAGTCATCCTTGAGGTGTAAACAGAGGTAGCGATCGTAGCTACATAGCTTTATCAATAGCATAGCATAGTCGATCGTAGCTGTATGTTCTCGTTGAGTCAATGTCCTGTAAAAGTTATGTCGTTGTCTATGCAGATGAGCTGTTGGTGGAAAAGGAGCGTGTTCGCAATCTCACCGAAGAGATCGAGCAAACCGTCCAAGAGATCCAGGGATCGTAAAGAGTTGTCTACCGTACTCGAATCGTCTACAATATCTTCATCTTCATCTTCATTTTTATCTTTATATGTACGTTTATCTGTAGCATGTCTGTCTGTGAAAATTGAGATTGAATCGGTTCTCTAGAATTTTGTGAAAATTGATAAGAATTGATAAGTTACAGAGATAGCCAGGATACTAGACTAAGCCTGGGTACGGTAAGGGAGTACGGTAGCCAGTACGGGAGCCAGTACGGTAGCCTGTGTATAGTAAGGGGATTACTCTATCAGTACAGTAGACCCTAGTTGAGTTTGAGTACGGTACTAGGCCGACTACTCTAGACTGAAGCCTACTTTATCCTGGAAGGCACTAGATATTTTAAGATTCCTATACTATTGATTGGAGTACTGTATCGAAAAACCCATTTTAGACCTTAGAAAACCCATTCTAGACCTTAGAAAACCCATTCTAGACCTTAGAAACCTCATTCTAGACCTTAGAAACCTCATTCTAGACCTTAGAAAACCCATTCTAGACCTTAGAAACCTCATTCTAGACCTTAGAAACCTCATTCTAGACCTTAGAAAACCCATTCTAGACCTTAGAAACCTCATTCTAGACCTTAGAAACCTCATTCTAGACCTTAGAAAACCCATTCTAGACCTTAGAAACCTCATTCTAGACCTTAGAAACCTCATTCTAGACCTTAGAAAACCCATTCTAGACCTTAGAAACCTCATTCTAGACCTTAGAAAACCCATTCTAGACCTTAGAAAACCCATTCTAGACCTTAGAAACCTCATTCTAGACCTTAGAAACCTCATTCTAGACCTTAGAAAACCCATTCTAGACCTTAGAAACCTCATTCTAGACCTTAGAAAACCCATTCTAGACCTTAGAAAACCCATTCAAAGATCTAGAGAACCGATTTTATCACAAAAAAAACACTTTGTTCTAACAATGCGAATGCAGCCTGGCTAACAATGCATCAGATTCTAATCTCTAAAACCATTTTTCTTTTTCATTAACATCTCATTAACGAATTCTTTGTAGATCAAAAAGAAGTGTCCGATCAGAAAGCAAAAGATCTACAGGATGAATTGGACAAAATGCTCACCGAATTGAACGGAGTTTAGAATAAAGGGTTATCGCTGGGTGTAAAGTACCGTAGTTTCTTGAAAAATAGCTGCATTTTAAAGTCTGAAGAAAGTCTGTACGAGTAAAACTCCGTACAAGGCCGTAAAACCAGGCCAGTGACATCCAGGCTAGACATCTAGGCCAGACATCCAGACCAGACGTCTAGGCCAGACGTCTAGGCCAGACGTCTAGGCCAGACATCCAGGCCAGACATCCAGGCTAGACATCCAGGCTAGACATCCAGGCCAGACATCCAGGCTAGACATCTAGGCCAGACATCCAGGCCAGACATCCAGACCAGACGTCTAGGCCAGACATCCAGGCCAGACATCCAGGCCAGACATCTAGGCCATTCTTTCTCTGTTCTCAAGTAGCCTAAACCCTAAACAACCTTGACTTATCTATTGTCCTAGACCCTAAACATATCTAAAAATAGTAAACCATCAATATCCATCAATCTAAAACTTTATACAAAAGCGCAGGCTCAAATTCTTGAAACTGGGCTACTGTTTACTGAAATCTAGGATTACTTTTAAGCCTTTAAAAACCTCACCAACAAAAAAACTACGGTACTCGATTGAAAAATTGACATTTTCACCCATTTCATTCGTCTTCTTTCCATCAATTTCATCCATCTTCTTTCCATCAATTTCATTCGTCTTCTTTCCATCCATTCCAACATCTAAACATTCTTCACTTAATATCAAAAATTTGATGACTTACTTATAAGTTAACCTTTCTCTTTCATCCTAAATTTTGTTTAAAACTTTAAAACTTTAAAACTTTAAACTTTAAACTTTAAAACTTTGATTTTTTTCTAAAATGTGATTAAAAATTTCATTTTTTTTAAGCGCAAATTTGCAATTCAAGCCAAATTCCGGTTTTTTCGAGGCTTTTAAGTTTTTCTCTCTTTTTCTTTCTTCAAATTTTTCGTCCTTTTCGTCCTTTTTCTAAATTTATCCAAAAATTTCCTCATTTTACTCTTAATGTACAGCTTTTTCTTTTAAAATTTAACTAATTTTCTAATTTTTGTGATTTTCTTGTGAATTGTATCATTTTTTTTTCATTTCTGTGCATGGTGAGAGATAAATTTAACTTAAAAATTTGGGTTTTCTTGTTTTCTTTGATAAAATGGTAAAAGAAAAAGCATGGTTTGGAAAATTGACCTGAAAAAAAAACGATAACATTAATGTTTGTTTGAAAAAAACGATAATATTAATGTTTTGCAAGTTTCAGTGTTACAAAAGGTCAACTTTATAGATAACTTTCTAATGCTAACTCCTTTAAAAGCTCAGCTTTTCATAGAATACTAAAGAAATTTTTTAGACGAATTGGTGCACGAGAAGGACCGATACAAGAACATCTCCGAGGAACTCGATCAAACTTTCCAAGAACTCTCTGGATATTAAATTCCATCAAAAAAACGAGTTCTTCGTCTCTTTTTTGTCGCTCTTTTACCCTTTCCGTATTTCGTCGATTTCTGTATATGCCCTAAAAAAAATGAAACTTCTGTTATCAACCACATCAGCTCTCCATCCTTTTCGTGTACCCCGTTCTTGCAATAAAGTTTTATCCAAAAAAATCTTAAATGCAGAATATGCTGTTAACTGTGAGACAAGTAAACTTCAATTCTTGCTTAAGCCTTTTTGATGTTTTTGAATAAGAAAAATGAAAGTATCAGACAAAAGACAAAGCTTTCTACTTAAAAAACCTTTGTTTTCAAGTAGACACAGTAATCAGTAAACAGTAAACCTTTTGGTTTAGTGTTTAAGATGTAAATTTCGTTTGTTACTTCAAAACTTTATTTAGACATTAGAAACAAAATTAACCTGATAACAAAATGCAAGAAAACGATAACGCTTGTCAAATGTTCACTCCCGATGGCCTCGCGGTCTGCGCCGTGTGTGGCTTGTCGCATCTCGGCCGTCAATCGCTACCACCAACAAGCGATCGAGTGGAGGAATGTACGAGTCGAACCAGTGACTTTGATCACTAAAATAATATTGTGTTGACATCAATTTGTTCTATTTAGATAAAGTTAAAGTTTATTACATATTCAATAAAGTTTATTACAAACGATTAGTTACCATTTTAACGCTAATTTCAAGTTAATAGTGGTTTCAGAGAGAATTAGGTTACAGAAGAAAGCTAATAGTGATTTCAGAGGAAAGTTAATAGTGGTTTCAGAGGTTTTTTCATGCTAAAACCTACAAAATGCTTTACACAACTAAAATTGGGTTTTGAAAGTAATGAAAACTCACGAGAAAGTGACGTTCTTCAGAACGAGTCTCCAAACATCTTCCGATAAACGATAAGTGACGAGAGTCTGCGCGTGGAAATTGGCCTAAAACAAGTAACAATCAAAGCTGCAAATAAAAGCCTAAACCTTGAATCGTCCATTGTTATGTAGAGCTTCTTCCATCCTCGTGTCAAAAGCTTTGAGCATCTAAAGTTGAAAAAATTAGCCTTAAAAGCCTTGGCCTTAGCCTTAAACTTTTAACAAAATGTCTCAAGTGTTGAGGAGTCAGCTCGATTTGATTAAATGATCTTAACAACAAATCTTAAATCAATGATCTTAACAACAATTGTGATTTAAATTCTTCAAAACAAGGTCAGGCTTCTAACAAAAGTTGTTACTGCTACAACTTTCTAAACATTCTGACAACTAACTTCTTCTAACAAAAGTTTTTACTGTCAAAATATCTAAAAAACCGACTTTTTTGTGAATCTCTTCGTTGATTCGTCCATCGTTCACGTAGTTCTCCAGAACCTAAAATACAAACTGTAAATCAAAGAAACAAATCAATCATTTAGGATAAAAGAAGGAACTTAACGTAAAGAAATGGTTTACCCCTTGCAAAGCGGTGCCCAACGTCGTCTCTCGGTAGATCTCACAGCTCGTGTTCATCTAAATTTAAAAATGAGTTTGGCGATCCGAAAAAGGCGAGAGAGATCCGAAAAAGATCCGAAAAATGTGGGAGAGAAACTGTTTAAAAACGCGGTACTTGGTAGGTTGGGCTATCTTTTCGATTTTTTTCATTTTTTCACGATCTAGGGGTAATCGAGGGTGCTGAGCACGAATTTGGCAGTTTTAGCATAGGTTTTCAACTGAAAAATCGACATTTCGACAAATTTAAGATCGAAAATAAAAATTTAGTGATTAAAAAGGGTTTTCGCTCTAGTTTTGACCTTGAAAAGTGTCCCAATAGTCGATAGCTTGAGTACACAAATTTAAAGTGTAAAAAAAAGAGTAAAAACATTTTTAACCTGTCGAAATGGTAGCTTTTTGCTTTTCAGCTTTTCTGCTGAACGTTGCTTGTGGTTTTATAACTCAACAAATCCATTAAAGATATTCAGTTAATTCATTTGCTTTCTCTTACAAAATTCAAACGTTCTGCTTTTCAATTGAATATCTTTTTTTGAAGGCTAGTTTTGTACCGCAAATTTTTTCTTTTTCATTTCATTTTCGCTCCGTTCAGGGGTTTTCTAGACTTCAATATTATCAATACAAACGGCAAGCTTATATTAGACCGTTCAGATCTTGGCTTCTAGAACAGCTATCAATCTACAAATTGTTTTATTAGAAAGCCAAGAATGTCAGCTTTTGATTGCTATCTCACACATAGCAAATTCTCATAGATGAGTGCCTTAAAAAGTTTATCAATACTTATCGATACTCAGATATCGAGAAGGTTTATAAGGTGCTTATTCATTAAAATTCATTATGTATAAAATAGCAATCAAAAGCTCACACTCTTGACTTTCCAATGAAACAATTTGCTGATTGATAGCTCTTCTCGAAATCGAGATCTGTACGGTCAAACATACGCTTGCCGCTTGTATCGATAATATCGATAAGCAAGCCTAGGTTTTTGTCTCCACTTTAACTCCATGACTTAGTTTACGTTCGGTTTCGATACGCGTTTTCCAAAGCGCTGTAAATTTCAATACGACACATCTTTTGCGGACACAGAAACTGGCTTTAAGTCAACTGCTAAGATTTTCAATAGCTTACTAGCCACAACGTAAGTTACCTACCTTATAGTTTTGATAGTTGCACGCTCTTTCACGAGTAACGCGGCTCGTTGCCCTTTTCACTATTTATCTTCCTCGAATTCATTACATTTTTTTGTTCAGATGGCGCCGTCAAAGAAGCAGGCTGCGCCCACGCAATCACCGGTGAAGACCAAGGCAACGAGAAAGAAGAAGGACGAGAACGCGCCCAAGCGAGGCCTTTCTGCCTACATGCTTTGGCTCGCTGAGAACCGTGCTCGCCTCACTCAACCTGGAATGGCCGTCACTGAGGTCTCCAAGGTATGGCGTTTTTTGGAATCATTAGTTTGTTTTGAGGATAACTAATAGCGTTGAGCGAAGCTTTTATTCGTATTCAGCGTTTAGGTTTTGATTATGGGACTTAAATTTAAAACGTGAGATAAGTCTGCACGATGAAACCACTGCGCTTAGAACTTTTGATATGGCCACAAAAGAACGTTTAAACGAAAAAACAACGTACTATTTGTTGCTTAAAATTTTTACTTTTATATTGGCTCAGTGTTGGGAAGTCAAGTCGAATTTGAAAAGTAGAGTTCAGCTTTACATGATTATGACGAAATGCTTTTGTTTAGGCTGCCGGCGCTGAATGGAAGAACGTCAAGGACCGATCAAAGTGGGAGAAGCAAGCCGCAGCTGACAAGGAGCGATACACTAAGGAAATGGAAGCCTACAAGGCATCGTCATCCAAATGATAATGTTCTCTGTTCTCAGCACCTTGTGCCCTGTCTTTGCTTGTTCGCCAGTTTTCCGGAATTATATTGTTGTTTATTATGTCATAATTTAAGTTCATTAAGTTCACCGTTCAATAAAATTATTTCAACTACCTAATTTGAGCTGAAATGTTTGGTGTTTATCAACGCACGGTTTTTTGCCGCCTTATTTAAAACAGCAATTTTTTCAAACTTTGCGGTTTGTGCGGGTTGAAACGTTATTGAGGACTAATTTTGTAATTTTGGAAATCAAATGGCTCGACCAGCAAAAGAAAACGGTTCGCAAGAAGTGCCCAAAGCCGTGCGCAAGAATGATGACGGCCGTCCCAAGAGAAACCTTTCTGCTTACTTCATCTGGTAAGCTTTATTTTGTCTTGCTTCATACAATTGATCTGATTCCAGGCTTGGTGAAAACCGTGCTCGTCTTGCGGAAACTGTCGAACCTAAGCAGGTTCTCAAGGTAAGCCTTGTGGTTCATTCATTCATGTAGTAGTGGTTCATTTTAGGCAGCCGGTGCTGAATGGAAGAAACTTGAAGACAAGTCCAAATGGGAGGAGAAAGCCAAGGCCGATAAGGAGCGTTACACTCGTGAAATGGAGGCTTTCAAGGGACCATCGAGCAAGTGAAGGCTTCTGCAAATTATTTTGTTGTTACGTTTCTCGTTACGTTTGTTCTTTGCCGTTGTTGCAATTCATTAATCTTTAGCACTTGCGTGTTCACTGCATAAATTTTCTATGGTGAAATCATAAGTCTCAATCAAAATCGGAGAGAGCAATGTACATAAAATGAAATACCATAATTTACTTATAGCATCTAATGAAAAGCTGGGCATTTTTTCAAAATTTTGTGGTAATTAACCATTCCTTGGGGATAGTTATCAATTTTTGAAAAGTCATAGCTAGCAAACGGTTAAAACACATCGATTGAAAATTCCCACGAGTCTAACCGGGACATTCGGGGAAAGTGAATTGCGTTAATCGGTTACCAAATGCATTGAGAAATTTAAAACTGACAACGCTACCTTGTTTTAATGTTACAAATTTTCAGGAACGAGGTTTTATGGTCTCATTTCCAGCTTTGTGTGTTCAGATTTAATACTATTCTCTCTACGCTAAATGACGTGCTTGTCCTTTCCGGGTGACGAGAGCCGAAAAGACGGAAAAGGACTTGAAATGCCTTGGATCGATCGAAAGCCTCGTGAGGGGCCCCTGGCGGCCTCCCTTTTGACCAGAAAAAAGAACCCGAAAGAGACCTTGCCGCCTACATATTAACGGATGGAAAGGCGCTCTTTTTTGCAAAATTCCATTATTTCTTTGCTTCCGGGCAAACATGATTTTTGTAAAATTGATATTGATTTAAGCACTTTTAATATTTTCCTTTATGTGCAAAATTTTAGGCCACCGATGGCGATTTGGGCCGTGGGATGGTTGCTCGTTGCTTGTGGGGCCGTTTGGGCCGAGACGGATAAAATTCAAATGCCAGAGGGACTCTATCCACAGGTTTTTTTTGGCAGAAAGTATTTTTAGCATTTTTAGCATTTTTCCCCATCCGCATTTAGCTGTTAGAGTGATAGAATTTCGAGCTTTTCGAGCTTTCGAGCTTTTCGAGCTTTTCGAGCTTTCCGGGAATTCGAAAATGCAATTAAACTCGATTTCAGGCTGACAGCTATGTGTGCACTTTTGTGCCGCTGGATGCAGAGAAAGAACATTATATCAGTGAGTTTATGAAACGCTTTGTCTTGTCTTTGGCTTTGTCGTCATGGCCGACTGGTTAGAAGCCTTGTTTTCTAGCCGAGAGCTCAAGGGTTCGATCCCGGCCACCTGGAGGCCTTTGGATCTTTTTATGAAACCATTTCCAGCTGGATTTGAGCCGATTGTCGAGAAGAATTTGGCTCATCACATCATTCTCTTTGGATGCGATGAGCCGGGCACTTTTGAGCCGGTTTGGTGAGTGAAAGAAAAGAAAGAAAAGAAAGGAAATTAAAGGAGAAGCGATTTGCGAGAAGTGTTTAGTTCTCTACATCAAAAAAAATATCTCTCTAGGAATTGCGGTGGAATGTCGGCTGGATCCGACAGAATGGAGAGGGGATCGGTGTGTCAGTCGAAAGAAAGCATTCTCTATGCCTGGGCAATGGATGCACCACAATTGGAGCTGCCAAAAGGTGAACTGAGATTTAAAGTACGATTACGGTAGAGATTACGACAAAATTGAGACAAGGTTACGGTAGAGATTACGACAGAAATTGAGACAAGGTTACGGTAGAGATTACGACAGAAATAAGACAGGATTACGGTAGAAATTATACGATAAAAATAAAACCGTAACCTTGTCTTTATTTTTATCATAATTTCTACCGTAAACTCGTCTCATTTCTGTCGTAATCTCTACCGTAATCTTGTCTCAATTTTGTCGTATTTTTGTCTGCCGTAATCTTGTCTCTTTTTTACCCACTTTTTCTCTGATTCTGCGAGAATTCGCAAAGGATATCTAAAGATATAAAAAGTGGATAGGTTTGATAAAAAATTACGGTAGAAAGAGACAAGATTGCGGTAGAAAGGGACAAGGTTACGGTAGAAAGAGAAAGGGATAGGTTTAGCAAAAGTGAATTACGGTAGCTATTTGTGTACTATAACTGGGAACACGGTAGCTAGATAATAAAAGCCAAAAAACGATCTCTAGACGTCGGTTTCAAAGTTGGCGGCGCATCGGGGATCAACTATTTGGTGATGCAAGTTCACTACATGCACGCCAAGAATGAGGAGGATCGGTGAGGGAGGAGATTAGGCGGAAATACTGTAATAGTACCCCGCCCCACATAATGACGGTGTGGAGTGCTGTGTAGTCGAGCTTTGAACGCGTTTTTCTCGACACTGGTTTATGCTACGATGCTGGTCTAGGTATCAAAAAATAGCTGAGATTCAGGGCTATTTTTTGATACCTAGACGAGCACTGTAGTATAAACCAGTGTCGAGAAAAACTCGTTCAAAGCTAGGCTACCGTATTTATTCTAATAAACGCCCCTCGACCAACTTTAGGTGCCTCGTTCTCAGTCCTATTTTATGATATTTTATGTTTAATATACCAAAAGATAGAATACATTAAGGGCTATCTTTTGGTATATTAAACATAAAAATATCTCAAAATGGGACTGAGAACGAGGTGTCTAAAGTTGGTCGAGGGGGGGGGGCGTTTATTAGAATAAATACGGTAGCCTAGCTTTGAACTAGTTTTTCTCGACACTGGTTTATACTACAGTGCTCGTCTAGGTATCAAAAAATAGCCCTGAATCTCAGCTATTTTTTGATACCTAAGCGCGCATTGTAGCATAAACCAGTGTCGAGAAAAACGCGTTCAAAGCTAGACTACACAACACTTCGCGCCGTCATTATGGGCGGTGGGGTACTATTACAGTATTTACGGTAGGCGAAAAAGAAAATTCAGCACTTTTTGCTGCTTAGGCTCTGAATTGGATATGATTAGAGGAAAAGAAAGCCTCGATTTTCATTTCAGAACTGGACTCACCCTCACGCACACCGAGGAACCATTGCCGAAAGTTGCGGCAACGATGCTGCTCGTTACTGCCGGCGCCATTCAACCAAAGGCCACAGGTTTCAAAGCCGATTGCATTCTTGTAGACAGAGAAAATCAGCTAGCTTTAGGAAGCTTTAAAGCTAATAGGTTTGAAGGAGGAAATAGCTGAGAGTAAACGTTTGAATGATAGGAGTTCGTTGTCGTCGGATCCCAGTCATTATTTGATTCAAACGAATAAACGTACACAACAATACAAAGCACAATCCATAAGCCGTAAAATCAGCGAAGAAAAAACCCAAGAATATAAAGCCAAAAAAGGATCAATAATGCGGACAGCGGGATTGAACCCTGAAGCTCCCGACTGAGATACAAGGCTCTTAGCCAGTCGGCTATGGCGGCATTTGGAATCGAGACAAAACAAGCTTCTTATTTTCCAGTCCTAGAGAATGTAGTCGAAATTTCGACGAAAAATCTCCCCCTAGCCAATAAGAGCGTTCCACACGCTAGGGAACGGAGAGCAGCGGTGGTCTAGGGGATAGTGTGCCGGTCTAGAAAACCGAAGCTATTCAAATGGCGGTGGGTTCGAGTCCCGCCACTGACAGACTTTTTTGGAAAACAGATAAATGTCAAACAAATATTCCAGTATCGATACTAGAAAAGATTAGTCTGTCTGTTTGTCTGTCTGTCTGTCTGTCTGTCTGTTTGTCCGTCTGTCTGTCTGTCTGTCTGTCTGTCTGTCTGTTCCTCATCTGTCTGTCATCTGTCAAATCTCTAGAAGGCTCGAAAAGATAAAGCAGATTGGGAATTGAACCCTCGACCTTCTGCTTACCAGACTGATGCTTTACACTGAGCTATTGGCGTTTTCTTTCCCCAAGAAGAAATAGGAAAGACAAGGAAGAAGAGAGAGAGAGAAAGAGAGAAAGAGAGAGAGAGAAAGAGAGAAAGAGAGAGAGAGAAAGAGAAAGAAAGAGAGAGAGAGAGAGAGGGAAAGAGAGAGAGAAAGTCATATTAACCTAGTCATTAACCTAATAGTCACTATGAACAACAATTTTTAACCGTATCCAGCTTCTATTCTTTAATCGAATTGTAAGCAAAAGCTCTTCAGCGAATAGCTTATCAGTGTGTTGTTTCAGAGAACTTTGAGACAGCTTGCGTGATCGACGAGCCGGTGGTGTTGCACCCGTTCGCCTATCGAACACACACGCATCGACACGGGAAAGAAGTGAGCGGATGGGTGGTACAAGAGGTGAGTGAGAAGGCTTCCAAACAAATCAACGATGCCGGAAATGATTTTAGAACTCGCAAGGAAACGATCGATGGACATTGATCGGACGTCGGGATCCACAATTGCCACAAATGTTTGTCCCGGTGAGTGAGAATGGAAATCTCAATTCATTTTGCCTCAAATTTTTCTCCTAATGGAATTCTCGTTGTGCAGGATTTGAAATGGAATTAAATTTTCAAGAAATCCATTTCCAGGTGGAAAACAAAACGATGGAGATTCGTCAAGGGGATATGCTCGCGGCAAGGTATGGGAAATTGGATAGAAGCTTTTCGTACACTTAAACTTACACTATAACTACACTTCGTTACGCTACGCTACGTTACAATACGCTACAATACGCTACATTGCGCTAGAATACGCTAGAAGACGCTAGAAGACGCTAGAAGACGCTAGAAGACGCTAGAATATGCTAGAAGACGCTAGAATATGCTAGAAGACGCTAGAATACGCTAGAAGACGCTAGAAGACGCTAGAAGACGCGAGAAGACGCTAGAATATGCTAGAATATGCTAGAAGACGCTAGAAGACGCTAGAAGACGCTAGAAGACGCTAGAAGACGCTAGAAGACGCTAGAAGACGCTAGAATATGCTACAATACCTTACACTACGCTACACTACACTGCAATGCAATGTAGTCTAGTCTAGATCACACCTAGTGACTAGTGACTAGCTTTATAGCGACCTACAGCTGACCGGAGTCAAACCAGAGTGTTCGGCTCAGCTCAGTTGTTAGGCTTTTTTGTAGCAGCGACGCTAACCAATGCACCACACGGTCTCATAAAAAGAGGGTTTTATCTCTAGCCATTGAACGGCCATTGAACGGCCATTGAACGGCTATTGAACGGCTATTGAACGGCCTATTGAACGGCTATTGAACGGCTATTGAACAGCCATTGAATGGCCATCGAAACGGCCATTGAACGGATTACGATTCTTTTCTAGATGTGTCATCGAGAACAACGAGGATCGAGTGATCGCGATGGGAGCGACGGGCGAGGACGAGATGTGCAATTTCTATCTCATGTACTGGACGCTGGGCGATCGGGTGAGTGGAAATGGCTTTTGGAAATGGCACTACAGCGGCTTTTGCTCTCGATTTGACCAAAATACGACTAAATACGACTAAATAGAGTAAATTCAAGTCAAAAGTGCGAAAAACACAACTCCGCCGGCACCACGGGGAGTCGAACCCGGGTCCTGTGCATTGTAGACGAGCACGCTGCCCACTGCGCCATGCCCGCCATCGTCCTCCTCCGCTTAAAAAGCCCCCAAACACCCCTCTCTGGCACCGTTTACCAGATGGCTAGCGATTACGCCCCCGCACAAAGAACACCCGATATTTTTGACAGAATTTCTCTTTTACTTTGTAAATGAAATAAAAAAGATATTTTGCTGAAAATTTGTACCCGGGGGTTTTCGGGGTCGAGGAATTGATTGCAGTGATTTATTTTAACCACTTTACTAATAGAAACTCGGCTTTATTGGCCGCGTTCTTGATAAACTATTGCAAGCTTTTCCAGACGTTAAGCGACAACACTTGCCTCTCACCGGGCGCTCCAAATTACTACTGGGACACCGAGGCTCTTCTGAACAATATCCCGAAATGATTACGGTCAAGAAATGTAATTTTTGCTTTTTTTCCGATAAATTCAATCATTTTCTCTCGATAAGTTGAATTTTTTGTTCGAATTTCGTTTTCCCGGTGATCTTTTTTGTTTTTCAAGGCGAAAAACAAGATAAAGTCTCTTTTGTTGTTAATAAAAAGTTCTATAGAAAAGGAAATTAGCAATACAGCAATACGTCAAGGGGATATGCTGGCGGCGAGGTCTGGGAAATTGGATAGAAGCCTTTCATACACTTGAACTTACACTATAGCTACACTACGTTACGCTACGCTACGTTACAATACGCTACTTTACGCTACAGGAAAGAATTTCCACTGAAACATTTACTTTTTGATGGAAAAATTTGGAAAAGATCAAGAAATCAGTGCGCTAGAAAATTTGCGTTTACAGATGATCAAAAAGCATCTACAGAGGTGGTTTAAAGCTTAGAGTTTAGAGTTTACTGTTTTGATTGTTTTGATTGTTTTGATTGTTTTGATTGTTTTGACTGTTTTGACTGTTTTCACTGTTTTCCCTGCTTTCCCCGTTTTATCCCTTACAAGAGTATCCTCTAAAGTACAGTAAACTTAATGCTTACTGTAGAAACTTGTACTATAATAGAGAACAGTACAAGAGAACAGAGGAGCACTAGGTGACCGGAAATGTGCAGTGGACCGATAAGTAACAGTGACATTGGGAGGAAATGGAGGAGAGCATTCCCAGATAGAGGATTGACTGAAATCAGATGTATTAGCTCATATCTGTATCTGTGTCTTCCAAATCGGGCGTATCCGGAGAGGGGTCGCGGGTTACCCAAGTGTGAAGGAGTCTTAGAGCTTCAGTCAGTTCCAGGGTGGCCTTGGTCCTCCAAAAAGTCGCAATACATAAAATTTCCATATTGAGGCTTGAGCTGTGCGTTCCAGATCGGCCGTATCCGAAAAAGGATTCATGGGTTACCCAAGTGTTAAAGATCTTAGAGCTCCAGTCAGTTCCGCGGTGGCCATGGTCGGCTAAAAATTCGCTCTATGCCCCAATTTGCATATAGAGGCTTGAGCTGTGCGTTCCAGATCGGCCGTATTTGGAAACGAAATCACAGGTTACCCAAGAGTTAAGGACCCTAGAGCTTCAGCCAGTTCCGGGGGTGGCCTTGGACGCCTGAAAATTCGCTCTATGCCCCAATTCGCATATTGAGCTTTGACCTGTGCCTTCCAGATCAGCCATATCCGAAAAAGGAATCACAGGTTACCCAATCGTTAAGCAACCTGAGAGCTTCAGTCAGTTCATATCATAATCGGGAGGTCGATGGCTCAATCCCGGGTAGATTAATGTTGCTTTTTTCTTAGATAAATTCTAGATTGTCTTCTCTACATGCTTGTGTATTGTTTGTATGAATATTCATGTGAATAAATGTTTTTTCTAGTTCAAATGTATTCTCGTAATCTAATGTTTTCCCGTTATTCCCTACGATTCAAATTTCGGAGATCCATTTCTTTTTTTTCTTTTCACAAACCACTAATTTATCACCCAAGGGATGAACAGAAAAAAAATTGAGAAAAAAGTGAGGAGAAACTTTGAGAAGCAAGAAAAGGCTTTGATTTTGCCGACAATTCTCACAAAAAATCCCATTAACTACTTGGCAACAGTGCGGAAAAAAGAAAATAAATCTCTCACTCAGAATTGACCCTCAATTTGTCGGTGAATCTTTTAGTGAAATGTTTTTTTGAAATCTTGCATTATAGCTATTATAGTAATCTGCTTTTATAGCTATTTATATAATCCGTTTAAAATACCCTGTGCCAAAGAGAAAGCCTTTGCAATGAAAGAGAAAGCGATGGATCTTCGAAAGCTCTTTCTGCGTCGAATGCCTTTTAACCCCCGTCGAATGTCCGCTCACCAACTGCTTCAATGGCCTAGTGGATGGCTTAGTATGGCCTAGTGAATGGCCTAGTATGTTTCGTTACCGAACCTCTCTTTTCCTTATCTCTTTTCCTCTCAAGTTCGTTTCCCTCTCTCTGCACTTTGCACTGTTTTAAAAACTATTCCTTTAAATATTCTCTCGAGTTTCATTCACTTTTTATACAATTTTATACACGGTTAACTTCAACAAAACATTTATAAAAGCTGGAAATGAAAATTGGATAAATAGATAGTCAATAAAGATTGAAAAAAGAATCATTTAACGTTTGTTGTCACATTGAAAGCTTCAGAAAGCTACAGAAAGCTATAGAGAGCTATAGAGAGCTATAGAAAGCCATAGAAAACCATAGAAAGCTATAGAAAGCCTTGGAAAGCTTCAGAAAGCTTCAGAAAGCTTCAGAAAGCTATAGAACAGCTATAGAAAGCCTTGGAAAGCTTCAGAAAGCTTCACAAAGCTTCAGAAAGCTATAGAACAGCTATAGAAAGCCTTGGAAAGCTTCAGAAAGCTTCACAAAGCTTCAGAAAGCTATAGAACAGCTATAGAAAGCTATAGAACAGCTATAGAAAGCTATAGAAAGCTATAGAACAGCTATAGAAAGCTATAGAGAGCTATAGCAAGCTATAGAAAGCTTCAGAAAGCTATAGAACAGCTATAGAACAGCTTCAGAAAGCTATAGAAAGCCCTAGAAATTTTATTTTCCTGATAGTTTTATGTTAAATATCTTCATAAGTCGGATGTGTGGCCGTCCAGTAATCTTCAAGAAACGAGCACATTCTAGAAAAGTGGAATGGATCAAAATGTGAATGAATTTAGGCTCAAGTTCTAGGCTCTAAAAAGCTCTGAAAAGCTCTGAAAAGCTCTAAAACGCATCTTTTACAAGTTAAATGTCTACTAAAATAGAAATCGAATCTTTTCTAATCTTTTCTTTACCTCTTTGTTGCTTCTGGTAAACCCTTTTCCTCAATGATTACATCAAAAAGATCACGGGGTAAACTGAAAAGAGTTTCTAGAGAAAAAATTGGAGGACTTTAAACGGCGAAGTTTAAATTTGTAAACACAACGATTCTAGCGCACTGAATTCTTTGTTTTTCTTGTTTAAAGAGCGCTAGAAACAGCTAGAGCTACAGCTAGAGCTAGACCTAGAGCTAGAGCTAGAGCTACAGCTAGAGCTACAGCTAGAGCTAGAGCTAGAGCTAGAGCTAGAGCTAGAGCTAGAGCTACAGCTAGAGCTAGAGCTAGAGCTACAGCTAGAGCTACAGCTAGATCTACAGCTAGATCTACAGCTAGATCTACAGCTAGATCTACAGCTAGATCTACAACTAGAAAGTTTGCCTTTCCAATCGAAACCAACCTATTCAACAGATCCACCCCACACAACTCTGTTTTCTTATTTTGAATCCCTGTTTTGTTCATTAAACGCATCAGAATCTGGAATCGACTTTATAAGCTTTATAAGGATTAAATTCATAAACGAACACTCCGATTGCTGACACGAATTTGCACAAAGATTGGCGCCAAATGGATTCCTGTCAGATCTGGAAAAAAAAGAGGGAAAATCAACTGATTGAGATCAGCTAAATGCTATACAACCATCACCATTTCTGTAGAATTTTCTGCTCATTTCGAATCTATATTCCGTTTTTGCTAAATGACAATCTGCGTGGAGTTATAAGGGTTTAAAGTTTTGTTGTAAATGTTGGGGTCTTATCGTTTGGGTTTGTTTGGGTCTTCTTGCTCAGCGGCTAACGCTCAGCGGCTCAGCGGATGATAGGCTCGGTAACCAAGCAGACTATCCACTAGGCCATCGAAGCAGTTGGTGAGGAGACGTAAGAGGACAGTTAAAAGGCTGAGCGGTCTTTTGAGTCACTGGGTGTTTTGAGGGGTCTCCTGGCCGAGGGATTTCAGTGCAGGCTTGGCTGAGGGGTAAAGTGCTCGTTTCTAGATCGAAACCTGGCGAGACCCCACGGGTTCGATCCCCCCCTGATCTTTTTGCTTTTTTAACAAGTGCTGACTAGTGTTCTTTGTACCTTTCATCGCGTTCTCTCTGGCATACTGTTTTCATATATAAAGCCTTGTTTTCTATTTGGGTTTAGGCGGGATTTGGCCAACATTTGGGCTACATTTGGGGAACATTTGAGCGACATTTGGGCGGGATATGAGCGGCTTCCTGACCGACGGGTCTGGATGCAGCTGTGGTCGAGTGGTAAAGCGCTCGTTTCTAGAGCGAGACTAGGCGAGACCTCACAGGTTCGATCCCCATGCGCGCCTTTTTGCTTTTTTAAGAAGTGCTGCCTCTGTCTTTTGTGTGCTTTTGGGTTCTTTGTTGTATGTACAGCAGCCGACTACAGTAATCCGCTAGACTAAGCCAGATTTGTGTTAATTTCTTTATAGCATAGCAAGCATAGCATTTGGCCGACTCAGCCGGTTAGTTGATTACCTAATGGAGTGTTTACGTGTGGTGCTTCTAGCAAAATAATCGACAAATCCTCACAGAGTGCTGTGATCGTTTTCAGCTCTCGTTCGCTTTCTTCTGAAAATTGAGCTAGTTTCACGGCTCTAGAACTTGCTGTACTTTGAGAAGGAGTACTGTAGAAGCTACTACGCCAGATATAGAAGCTACAGTACCTCCTAAGGACCCTGTAAGGGCCCTGTAATTGAACAGAGGCCTCCTAAGGGCCCTGGAATTGAACAGAGGCCTCCTAGGGCCCTGGAATTGAACAGAGGCCTCCTAAGGACTCTGTAATTGAACAGAGGCCTCCTAAGGACTCTGTAATTGAACAGAGGCCTCCTAAGGACCTCCTAAGGACCCTGTAATTGAACAGAAGCTCTGTAAACCGTTAACTTTTGCAGATTTTGAAGAAATAAACCCTAGAAAATGGCTTGGTACTCTTCCTGTACTCTACAGGAAGAGTTGCAGAGTTCCAGGAAGTTCCTGTACCCTTGAATCATCTACTCCCAATTCCTGCCCACCGTAATCAATCCGTCCCATCCATTTCCGCCCAATATCACTCTTGAATTTCCTCACTCTTTCACCCATTCGTTTCGTCAATTCACTGCGCAACGCGGTGTGCATCAATTGAGTAATCTAGAAGGAATTTGATTCAAAAAAATTCGATCCCCACTTGTGATCCGTGGAAAGCGGGACCGACGAAAATGATTGGACGAGTCGAGGGGACAACAGTGAATGGAGGAGAGCATTCCCAGATAGAGGATTGGCTGAAATTTCAGATGTAATAGCTCAAATCTGTAGCTGTGCGTTCCAGAACGGCCGTATTTAGAAAGGGATCATGGGTTACCTAAGTGTTAAGGAACCTTAGAGCATCAGTCAGTTCCGGGGTGACCTTGGTCCTCCAAAAATTTGCGCTATGCCCCAATTTGCATATTGAGGCTTGAGCTGTGCGTTCCAGATCGGCCGTTTCCGGAAAGGAATCACAGGTTACCTAAGTGCTAACGATCTTAGAGCTTCAGTTAGTTCCGGGGTGACCTTGGTCCTCCAAAAATTTGCGCTATGCCCGAATCCGCATATTCTGTCTTGACCTGTGCGTTCCAGATGGGCCGTATCCAGAAAGGAATCACAGGTTACCCAAGTGTTAAGCAACCTTAGAGCTTCGGCCAGTTCATTGATGGGATCAGGTCCTTCAAAAATGCGCGCTATGCCCGAATCCGCATATTAAGCCTTGACCTGTGCCTTCCAGATCGGCCAAATTTGATCTCAATTACTGTACATTATCTAAATTTTAGCTAGTCCGGCCGCTGAATTCAATCTGGAATCTTTGCGTCCTTAAAGCTTGCAATACAAGTGATCTACTGATTAAATCATGGCCTGTGCCATCCAGCTCGTCCATATTTTAATGAACAAACGTAATGAACAAACAGTACAGTACAGTACAGTACTAGCTAAGTCTGTCTAAGCGCTATGTGCAAGTATTTATGCTAGAAGGCGTCTGTTTCCAAACTCTGAGCTCAAAGTACACCAAAAACCGACCCCAATCTCGTCCCTTCTTCATCCAGACATTTCTCCAGCTTTCCAATTCGTTTCGCCGTCGGGATAAACCCCATTTTCGCCTTTTTCTCGACATGTCTCCCAATCCACCAATCGACTGAATATCTCTAAATTTGAGGGGTTTTCAAATGTAATATTTTTACTCACCGCATGTATATGTAGGAATTGATTCTTCTTGAACGAGATCGTCTTCTCTCTGCACGGACTCTCTCGATCCAACGCCCCGTCGTAGTCGGTGTTCGTTTTGACAGCGAAACCGACTTTCATCTTCTGCAGATCAGGAATGTTTATGAAAATACTAAGGCTTGGGTTTAGCTAGATTTTAAATCAGCGTGCGTTCCAGGATGCTCAAAAAAGCGCATTTGAAATTATTTGGTGCACCGGGTGGCGCGCGTTTGCACCGAGCTCAGTCAGGTGGGCCAGACTGGAAATCCTTAAGCAGAGAATTTTGATTTGAAATCTTTTTAAAAATCTCCGTGTGCTCCAGGATGCTCAAAAAAGTGTTTTTGATTCGATTCGGTGCACTAGATGGCTCGCGTTTGCACCGAACTCGGTCAGGTTGGTTGCACTAGAATCCTTAAACACAGAATTCGATTTCAAATCTTTTCAATAATCTCTATGTGCTCCAGGATGCTCAAAAAAGTGCCTTTAAACTCATTTGGTCAACCAGGTGACGCAAATTTGCGCCGAACTCGGTCAAGTCGGCCGCGTTTTCATTTTAACAAAGCGCTATGATGCAACTCTAAGCTTTATTTCTATAAAAAAAAAACCTTCGCTATTTCCAATTTCTCCCAAGCGTCTTCTTTGAAAAATTCCTTTCGATATTGGTGCTCTTTTGAGGCGTCGAAGATCAATGGGACGCCTCTCTGGAAGGAAATCAACGATAGTATTATTTTAAAAAGGTCAAATTGTCGTTTAAGGGTTGATTACGGTATTTTTTACAATTCTAAGCTTAAAAAGTCGATAAAGATCTCATTTCATCAATTCACCTCTTTCATTGGCTCTTTGTAAGCATAGAGAAATGATTGGAGTTGTTCACGGAATAAGCTGTGCATTTTGGAGCAAAAACAGCAACAACAGCAACAACAGCAACGAGAAGAACAATATGAAGAATAAGAATAAGAAGAAGAATAAGAAGAATAAGAATAAGAAGAAGAATAAGAAGAAGAAGAATAAGAAGAAGAAGAAGAAGAAGAAGAAGAAGAAGAAGAAGAAGAAGAAGAATAAGAAGAAGAATAAGAATAAGAATAAGAAGAAGAAGAAGAAGAATAAGAAGAAGAAGAAGAATAAGAAGAAGAATAAGAAGAAGAATAAGAAGAAGAAGAAGAATAAGAAGAAGAAGAAGAATAAGAAGAAGAAGAAGAAGAATAAGAAGAACAATCCCTAAAATCTAAAACTAAAGACAATTTGTGGAAACTTTTTGAAAACAAGATTTCGGGTTATTGAATTTCCCTTTCTTTTGAGGAAATTAGGCTCTTTTTCGTCAAAATTTCGACCATTTACGCGGGAAAAAGAAAGCCACGAAAACTTCTAATCTTTTTCCCAAAAAACCCTGTCTTTTTCTACCGTAATCTTGTCTATTTTTATCTAAATCTATTTACTTTTTCTATTTTTTTGATATCATTTGTGAATTTGTGAATCAAAGAATCAGAAAAGTTGATGGATTGGAGAAAAAGAGAAAAGATTAGAGAAAAGTCTGGATGAAGGCACGAGAATCGGGTTTTGGTTTTGGTGTTCATGAAAATATGGACGAGCTGGCCACGATTCAAGAGGTAAATCTCTTGTATTGCAAGTTTTAAGGACATAGAGATCCAAGATCGAGTTCAGGGCACGAACTAGCTAAAATTTAGATAATATACAGTAATTCAGATCAAATTGGGTCGATCTGGAAGGCACAGGTCAAAGCTTAATATGCAAATTGGGCATAGCGCGAATTTTTGGAGGCTCAAGGCCACCGAGGAACTGACTGAAGCTCTAAGGTTCCTTAACTCTTGGGTAACCTATGATTCCTTTCCGGATATGGCCGATCTGGAAGTCACAGGCCAAGACTCAAGAGGCGAATTGGGCACAGCGCGAATTTTTGATGGACCTGATCCCACCCAGGAACAGAAACCAGGCATATATCGAATTTGCATATAATCGTTTCGATCCGATTCAATTGTTTTTCAATCGGATCCGATCCGGTTCAAGTAGCATCCGAAATCATGTCTATTGTGTAGTCTATTAGTATAGGTGACTTAATATCGATAGGAAATTCTCGCCCAGGTCACGACAAACTTGTGATCAACTGCACTCATCTGCACTCAAATTCATGTTCTGCTGGACTGGAAAATGTGCCGTGGTGAAAATGTGTGTGCAGATGCTATTCGAATGCATTTTTCCAAACGAAATGGCCGTGAGCTCCACATTCACTTCAAATGATTTATTTTCCTCCACAACAATGATAGGCATATCCATCACCGCAGGTCCAACTGCCTGTGTATCCAGGAGCCGGCACACAAGCACCCCATCCACACGAACAAATACTGAAATGCTTTTTGTGAATAATGTAAAAGCTTGGTCGTGTATCAAATGATTTTGACATTTTTTCTAGTCTATTCTACAGATTTGTTTTGTCTATTCTATAGATTTGTCTATTCTATAGATTTGTCTAGTCTATTCTATAGATTTGTCTATTCTATAGATTTGTCTATTCTATAGATTTGTCTATTCTATAGATTTGTCTAGTCTATTCTAGTCAACAATTCGATGAACTTCAATGATTACCTGAAAGGCATGACACCATTTGCATTCGATTGATCACCAATTTGTTCATTGAATGGAAGTGGAGCACCGAGACGATCAACTCGATCAGAATTTGATCCCTCATTCGAGCATTGAACGATCACCACAAAACAGAACACTCCAAATAATGGGACGAGCTTGTTGAAGACCATCTTGTCAAAGACCATCTTGTCAAAGACCATCTTCTCTATAGACTTTTCCCCTTTCTATAGATTCTCGTGATTCTATAACCATAAAATCACGAAAATCTTTTTATAAAGTTTCAATTTCATGTTGTTCATTCAAGTTAAAAACAAATGTGTAAAGTTATTCAAAAAAAAGAAGGGCAATAATCAGATTTGGATTCAGATTCGCGAAATCGCATGGGCTGCTATCATGCTATTTATCGAATCATGTATCGCATGTCTGATGCTATTTAGCCATGCTTCAGATTCTCACCTCAACCCCAGCGCATTTATACTAGCTTTCATTCTCATCGCATTCCTTTTTATTTGATCAGCTTCATTTTTTTTGCGACCGTTTCGAATTCCTACTTTTTTTTGACCATAACTTTTAACGATCTTATTTGAGCAGCTTTTTTAGCTCTTTCTCGATATCGACGCCTTTTCAAAATGACACATTTTGCCGTATCGGAGATCAAAAAAATGACCGATTTTGCCATATTCGAAATCTTTTAAAATGACTTTTTTTAAAAATGACTTTTTTTAAAAATGACATTTTGGGGAGTGGGACAAATGCGACCTTTTTTGCACCCGGACATTTGCGCACCCGGACATTTGCGCACCTTTTTTTCCGCACCTTGCCCATTAGCGCACCTTTTTTCGCGTTTTAAAAAAGCTAATATTAACCAATTTCTATTCCAAAAGTTGTTTTTCTATAGGTAATTTTAGGGCGTAGAATCGAAATTTTGACATGTCAGAGCTTGTGGAAACAAACGGACGGAGTTATACAAAGAGAAAAATCGACAATTTTCTGTAATTTGACCTAGCCGTTTTGTCTTTCAAATTGGTTGCTCTGATTGCTCTGTTATGCCAAAATTTCGATTCTACACCCTCAAATTACCTAGAAAAACAACATTTGGAATAGAAATTGGTTAATATTAGCTTTTTAGAGCTTTTTTAAAACGCGAAAAAAGGTGCGCTAATGGGCCAGGTGCGGGAAAAAAGGTGCGCAAATGTCCGGGTGCGCAAAAAAAAGATCGCATCTGTCCCACTCCCGACATTTTGCCGTATCGGAAATCAGAAATATAAGCCCAAAAGTGTAGTTTTTATTCTGTTTCCTCTTTTTTTTTTCTGATTCATTTGTTGTCTGTTTTTTCATATTTTATTGCGTTAATAATTTTTCTTTTTTTAGGTGATGTCGAATTCAACAGTTGTGAGAGCAAAAGCAAAACGAAAGGCCTACTCGGGGTAGGCTAGTTTCCGCAACTTTTTTTTGCGCAACTGGGTCATTTGCGCAACTCGCCATAACTTTCTTCTAGGTGCGCCAATCTTTATGATTTTGATTTCATTTTGTAGATCTCAATAAGTGCAACAAAATGAAACCAAAATCATAGAGATTGGCCCACCTAGAAGAAAGTTAGAAGCCACCTAGGTGGGCCTAGAAAGTTATGGCGAGTTGCGCAAATAACCCTGTTGCGCAAAAAAAAATTGCGGAAACTAGCCTACCCCGCCTACTCATCAGCATTCAAACTCGAAACTATTCGTTTTTGAAAGGAGAAATCAAAGAAAGCGGCTGCTCGAATCAAAGGAAGCGGTTCAATATTACCCCGAAGATGATTCGAGATTGGATGAAAAAAGAAGAATTGCTACACAGAAGCAAAAGAAGTAAAACGGCTCAAAGGAGGAGGCGACTCAATGGATCAAAAAGGCCTACTCATCAGCATTCAAACGAAGCTATTCGTTTTTCAAAGGAGAAATCAAAGGAAGTTTTTTGGTGATGTCGAATTCGACAGTTGTGAGAGCAAAAGCAAAACGAAAGGCCTACGCATCAGCATTCAAACTCGAAGCTATTCGCTTTTGAAAGGAGAAATCAAAGGAAGCGGCTGCTCGAAGCAAAGGAAGCGGTTCAATATTACCCCGAATATGATTCGAGATTGGATGACAAAAGAAGAATTGCTACAAAAAGAAGCAAAAGAAGTAAAACGGCTCAAAGGAGGAGGCCCCTCAATGGATCAAAAAGGAATCAAAAAGATCAAAAAGAAGCGAGAAGAAAAATTAAAACTCTCTTGGATCGTTTAAAATAAAACAAAGGACTTCTTTCGCGATTTGAACCTGGATTTCACTAAGTCATTGTCTGCAAGCAACTTGTCATTTTCTGCAAGCGGGCTTTCAAATTCTTAGAGACGACAAGAAATGACAAGAACTTCTTTTGCGAGATGTCAACGTCTTCCATTTTCTGCAAGCAGGCTTTCAAATTCTTAGAGACGACAAGAAATGACAGGAACTTCTTTTGCGAGATGTCAACGTCTTCCATTTTCTGCAAGCAGGCTTTCAAATTCTTAGAGACGACAAGAAATGACAAGAACTTCTTTTGCGAGATGTCAACGTCTTCCATTTTCTGCAAGCAACCTACAACGAGATGTCAACGTCTTTCAAGTTTCTATGAGAACAAACTTGGGAGATCTGGAAGTGCATCACCAGACGAGTTTTGTGAAGAATGTTCACTGAAAAGTGTGAACTATGTGAATGGAATGGAACACAACAGAAAATGATCATTCAATCATTTTCCTTTGATTGCCATTTGCCTTTCATTTCAAAATCAAAAGTTCAAATGGATTTGTCGAAAGCTTGTTTCGCGTTAACCAGAACTATGGGACAAACTATGGGAACGAACGCCTATTATGTGAGATTTAATATGCGCCGCCATCCGTTCAACTCTATTGTGTGCAAGACGAGATCAACGCCAAAGTTCCCTATAAAACCAATGCAGAACGAGCTGCCATGTGTGCCGTCGAGTCGTCTCTACTCTCTCAATCCCAAACCAGCGAACCACCATCTATTGTTGTTATCAAGATTATATCTAAAACAATAATCAGGCCGAGAAACGAGACAAGATGATCTTCAAAAAGCTCGTCCCATTATTTGGAGTGTGCTGTTTTGTGGTGATCGTTCAATGCTCGGATGAGGGATCAAATTCTGATCGAGTTGATCGTCTCGGTGCTCCACTTGGACCCAATGAACAAATTGGTGATCAATCGAATGCAAATGGTGTCATGCCTTTTAGGTAATCATTGAAGTTCATCGAAAACGTTGTTGTCTACACTAGACTAAAAATGGGAAATCGGGGCGACGATATTTTGGCCAATAATTTGTACCGAAAAAAGTTATTGATCTAATTCTTTTTGCAGTATATAAAGCATCTTATGGGCTACATTTTGACATGTAATAGATAGCAAAAACTCCTGTGGATGAACGAAATAAATACTTTTGACCCGAAGAGTCTTTCGACCCGACCTGAAGAGTTGGGGTGACAGGTCAAACAAGTTTTTCCTCATTCAATTCAAAAAGACATTGAGAAGTAGGTCAAATAGGTCAAAATATATTCCATAAGACGCTCTATTTAATGGAAAAATAATTAAACAATAACTTGCTTTGGTAAAAACTTTTGTAAGACTTTGGCCAAAAAATCGTTACTCCGAACCGCTCCGATTTCCCATGTCTAGAATAGACTAGACAGACAAGACTAGACAAGACTAGACAAGACTAGACTAGACTAGACTTACAAGACTAGACAAGACTAGACTAGACTAGACTAGACTAGACAAGACTAGACTAGACAAGACTAGACAAGACTAGACTAGACAAGACTAGACTAGACTAGACTAGACTAGACAAGACAAGACTAGACTAGACAAGACTAGACAAGACTAGACTAGACAAGACTAGACTAGACTAGACTAGACTAGACCGCACAGACAAGACGACAAGACTGCAGACAGACTAGACTAGACAGACTAGACAGACCAGACAGACAAGCGACGACTAGACGACGACTAGACAGACTAGACTAGACTGCCCACCGACGCACTAACAGACTAGGCTAAACTAGACTAAACTTGACTAGACTAGGCAAATCTCTAGATTAGACTAATCATCATTTGATCATTTGATATCATTTGATACACGACCAAGCTTTTACATTATTCACAAAAAGCATTTCAGTATTTGTTCGTGTGGATGGGGTGCTTGTGTGCCGGCTCCTGGATACACAGGCAGTTGGACCTGCGGTGATAATTATGCCTATCATTGTTGTGGAGGGAAATAAAACATTTGAAGTGATGGTGGTGGTGAACAACTCACGGCCATTTCGTTTGGAAAAATGCATTCGAATAGCATCTGCACACACATTTTCACCACGGCACATTTTCCAGTCCAGCAGAACATAAATTTGAGTGCAGTTGGTCACGAGTTTGTCGTGACCTGAGTGAAAATTTCCTATCGATATTAAGTCACCTATATTAATAACGGTGCTCGCAAAAAAAGTTCCCACGTTTTGTGCTTTGTGCTTTCACAAACGCGTTCTCTTTGGCACAGGGTATTTTAAAAAGATAAATAGCTATAATGCAGATTACTATAATAGCTATAATGCAAGATTTCAAAAAAACATTCCACTAAAAGATTCACCGACAAATTGGGGGTCAATTCTGAGTGAGAGATTTATTTTCTTTTTTCCCCACTGTTGCCAAGTAGTTAATGGGATTTTTTGTGAGAATTGTCGGCAAAATCAAAGCCTTTTCTTGCTTCTCAAAGTTTTTCATCGCTTTTTTCTCTATTTCCCCTGTTCATCCCTTGGGTAACAAATTAGTGGTTTGTGAAAAGCAAAAAAAGAAATGGATCTCCGAAATTTGAATCGTAGGGAATAACGGGAAAACATTAGATTACGAGAATACATTTGAACTAGAAAAAACATTTATTCACATGAATATTCATACAAACAATACACAAGCATGTAGAGACGAAAAAAAAGTCTATAATCTATCTGAGAAAAAAGTAATAATGAACTACCCGGGATTGAGCCATCGACCTCCCGACTATGATACCTATGAACTGACTGAGGCTCTAAGGTTGCTTAACGATTGGGTAACCCGTGATTCCTTTTCCGGAAATGGCCGATCTGGAAGGCACAGGTCAAAGCTCAATATGCGAATTGGAGCATAGAGCGAATTTTTGGGGGTCCTAAGGCCACCCCGGAACTGGCTGAAGCTCTAAGGTTCCTTAACTCTTGGGTAACCTGTGATTCCGTTTCCAAATACGGCCGATCTGGAACGCACAGCTCAAGCCTGTATATGCGAATTGGGGCATAGAGCGAATTTTTAGCCGACCATGGCCACCCCGGAACTGACTGGAGCTCTAAGATCTTTAACACTTGGGTAACCCATGAATCTCAAAGTTTCTGCTCACTTTTTTCTCAATTTTTTTTTCTGTTCATCCCTTGGGTGATAAATTAGTGGTTTGTGAAAAGAAAAAAAAGCAATGGATCTTCGAAATTTGAATGGTGGGAAATAACGGGAATACATTACATACAGATTACATGCAACAGAACAAAAAAAAAAAAAAAAAAGAGAGACAAAAAGATCGGAAAAGAAAAATGAACCCCGGGATTGAGCCATCGACCTCCCGACTATGATACCTATGAACTACTGAGGCTCTAAGGTTGCTTAACAATTGAGTAACCCATGATTTCTTTTCCGGAAACGGCCAATCTGGAACGCACAGGTCAAGACTCAATATGCGAATTGGGGCATAGAGCGAATTTTTAGCCGTCCAAGGTCACCCCGGAACTGACGGAAGCTCTAGGGTCCTTAACTCTTGGGTAACCTGTGATTTCGTTTGCGGGTATGGCCGATCTGGAAGGCACAGGTCAAGACAGAATATGCGGATTCGGGCATATAACGAATTTTTGGAGGACCAAGGTCACCCAGAACTAACTGAAGCTCTAGGATCGTTAGCACTTAGGTAACCTGTGATTCTTTTTCCGGAAACGGTCAATCTGGAACGCACAAGTCAAAGCTCAATATGCAAATTTTATGTATTGCGAATTTTTGGAGGACCAAGGCCACCCCGGAACTGACTGAAGCTCTAAGACTCCTTCACACTTGGGAAACCCGCGATTCCTCTCCGGATACGACCGATCTGGAAGACACAGATACAGATTTGAGCTAGTACAGCAGATTTCAGTCAATCCTCTATCTGGGAATGCTCTCCTCCATTTCCTTCCAGTGTCACTCTGTTTGTTGTTGTTGTTGTTGTTTTTTCTGTTACCGTAAACCTTGCAGCCTTGCAAACGTCTCCTTTCTGGTGAACTGAAATCATCTTTTGTTTCAACAATGAGAGAAAATGAAGAGAAAAAGAGAAATCATTGCTAGAGGAAAATGAAAAATTAAATACACTAGAAAGAGTTTGTTTACAAATGTTTACAAAGGTTTACAAATGTTTACAAAGGTTTACAAATGTTTACAAAGGTTTACAAAGGTTTACAAATGGTTTACAAATGTTTACAAATGTTTACACACCGAAAATCTTTCCCAATCTTTCCCAAATTCTCAAATCTTTCTCACAAATTCAATCCCAGAAATTTATTTGGAATAAATCTGAGAAATCCTTCTTTTTTTTGATTGACACTTTCGAATTATTTTCCGTTTTTTTAAATGAAAATTGGCTCTTCAATTTTTGGGCTGAAAAATGGGGAAAAATGGGATAAATTCCATTTGAGAAAACGTGAAAACGAGGAAATTGGGCATGAGATTCGATGGAGAACAAAAAAAAGATCAATTGCTGGACGAGAAATTCTGAGAAGTAATGAAATTGAATTGAAAAATGAGCGAATTTGGTGAAATTGTGATAAATGACTTAGAATAAAGTCTATCTGGTATTGTAGAAAACAATTAATAAAAAGCCTTTACATATGCTCTGGCCTTGACAATAGGATTCAAGGCTCAGCCTAAGAATCCTACTGTCAAGGGTAGCCTCAAGTACTTAAGAGTACTTAAGACCCAGCTCATTAGATAGAAAATCAAACAGGGAATCCGAATCTGCAATCAAAATTGAGCTAGCTCACAAATGCAAGATTTTTGGTATCGAAGTTTCCTAGACACTCTTGGCTCAAGTTTACGCGACCTTTGTTGGTCACCATTGTTTGAATGAACTGTTTTGAAAACTAACGGTAACCCATGATTCCTTTTCCGGATATGGCCGATCTGGAAGGCACAGGTCAAGACAGAATATGCGGATTCGGGCATAGCGCGTATTTCTGGAGGACCAAGGCCACCCCGGAACTGACTGAAGCTCTAGGGTCCTTAACTCTTGGGTAACCCATGATTCCTTTTCCGGATATGGCCGATCTGGAAGGCACAGGTCAAGACAGAATATGCGGATTCGGGCATAGCGCGTATTTCTGGAGGACCAAGGCCACCCCGGAACTGACTGAAGCTCTAGGGTCCTTAACTCTTGGGTAACCCATGATTCCTTTTCCGGATATGGCCGATCTGGAAGGCACAGGTCAAGACAGAATATGCGGATTCGGGCATAGCGCGTATTTCTGGAGGACCAAGGCCACCCCGGAACTGACTGAAGCTCTAGGGTCCTTAACTCTTGGGTAACCCATGATTCCTTCTCCGATATGGCCGATCTGGAACGCACAGGTCAAAGCTCAATATCCAAATTTTATGTTTTGCGACTTTTTGGAGGACCAAGGCCACCCCGGAACTGACTGAAGCTTTAAGACTCCTTCACACTTGGGTAACCCGCGATTCCTCTCCCGATACTCCCGATCTGGAAGACACAGATACAGATTTGAGCTAGTACATATGATTTCAGCCAATCCTCTATCTGGGAATGCTCTTCTCCATTTCCCGCCAATGTCACTGTTACTTATGGGTTTTAACCACTGCACATTTCCGGTCACCTATTACTCCTCCATAGTAAGGCTTGTCCTGTACCTTGTCCTGTACCTTGTTCTGTAGCTTGTCCTATACCTTGTCCTGTCCTATCCTTCCCTTTCTTCCTTCCCCTTTCTTTCTTTCTCTTCCTTGTACTTCCTCTTTCCTCCCTGCAAGAAGATACCAAATAGCTCATTGGTTAGAGCGATTACCTGAAAAGCAAAAAGATCGGTTCAATCCTTCTGGAAATCTTTCTTTCCCATTCCTTACTTTTAGATTCCTTTAGAGTCATTCATTACTTTAGAATCCTAAAATCTCTGTTTCTTTAAAGTCTGAAGTATCTGTTTATAAAGTTCTTGTTATAACTCTTGTTCTAATGTTTTGAAAGACAAAAAGGAAAAGAAAAGGCAAAAAAAATACCCAGGCAAATCCCTGAATCTTATTGGTAAACAAATCTTCAATCGTTTAATCGTAATCGTTCAATCGTAAGGCTCAGTTCTATCAATTTCGTCAAAATTTTGATGATCCGTGATGAAATGAACTAATGAAATAGTTCATTTGATAAGTGGATCATAAAAATGAAGACAAATGAAAGCAATGAAAGCAATGAAAGCAATTAAAAGTTTAAAATGAAGTGGACACTGGAGAAGATTTCATTTCTTTTCTTTCCTCTTTTGATAGTCATTACTTTGCAATGAATGGCGATCATAAAGAGCAAATTGGAGGAGAGAATCAGGAGGGAGATTTAAGGGAAATTGTTTCATTTGATTTGATTTGATTTGATTTGATTTGAATTCATTTCATTTGAATTTGAATTTGAATTTGATTTGAATTTGAATTTGATTTGATTTGAATTTCATTTGAATTTGATTTGAATTTGATTTAAATTTGAATTTGAAAAGAGGTTTGAAATATTTTTGAGGGAAAGATTGGGAAATAAAACTTGCTTTGCTCTGTGATTTAGTGATTGTTTTAGCTTTAGTCAATGTCAATTTAATGATTTAACGATTCAGTCAATGGAATCTCCCTCTTTCTAAAGTCTAAACCAGTAGAAGAATGGTTTCAATCGATTCACAGACTCCGAACCAGTAGAAGAATGGTTTCAATCGATTCACAGACTCCGAACCAGTAGGGGAATGGCTCCAATCGATTCACAGACTCCGAACCAGTAGGGGAATGGCTCCAATCGATTCACAGACTCCGAACCAGTAGGGGAATGGCCCAATCGATTTACCGACCCCAAACCAGTAGGAGAATGGCTCCAATCGATTCACAGACTCCGAACCAGTAGGGGAATGGCTCCAATCGATTCACAGACTCCGAACCAGTAGGGGAATGGCTCCAATCGATTCACAGACTCCGAACCAGTAGGGGAATGGCTCCA